ATTGGTTGACTATAGTTTTGTTCCACCTTATGCCCGCCTAAGTGAGTTGTCATGTTCTCCACCATCTTAGACCCCTCTCACATGGTTTTACACCATGAAAGTCCCTAGAAGAGATAGCTTCCTGGGAACCACCTGATTGAGGCTCCCCTCCTGTCCTTTTCTCAGATATAAGCCTTCTTTCCCCCAATAAATATATTCTGCTCATAAAAAGAACAACAACCAAAACCAAAACCAAAAAAAAAAAAAACCCTTTCCTTCCTCAATTCTGGGTGTTGGGTGTTTTTGTCCTAGCAATGAGAGAAAAGTAACCAAGACAGGAGAGCTCTGGTCCTTTCCTTGAGCATTGCTTCCTGGCTCTGGAGGGGAAGATGGTACACTGCTCAGTCCCCAGGAGAAGCCCGTCATGCTGCTTTTCCTAATGGGAACTCGGCTTTCCTCACCCTCACAGGAGCTTGGGACCCCATTGTTGCTGAGGATGGCTGTGGTACTTTTCAGGGGAGCTCTGGTTCTTACCTTGAGCATCAATTCCTGGCTCCAGTTCAGATCCCTCAGCCTGTAAGCATAGATCCTTCATCCCACTGGTGTAGACTTTCTGGCTTCCACTACTGATCTTCGAGCCTTCCCAGAGCAGATCCATGAAGCAGGCCTACATGAGACATGTGCTTAGCTCTAGGCCTCTAGTTAGACTTGTGGAAGATGTTGTTATAAGCTCTAGGTCTTCTGCTAGACTCATGTAGGATATTAGAATCCAGGCCATCAGCTGAATTCTTTGCGCTTTAGTATGTGGACAGACTTCCTATACTCCTTGCATGATTCTTTGGGTTATTCATTATAAAATAACCTTATAAGTGTGTCCTGTATTGTATTTTTTTATATTTTAACAATTTTACTGAGAAAGAAGTAGCAATGAGATAGTTTCAAAATAGGTCAGTAGTACAGTTACAATAATGGATACATTGCGTATTATTGTCTTTGTAGCAGTTATTTCTAGTACAAGATACAGATATGTCCTGTATTGTATTGCTCCCTGGCTATAACCCCAAACCACAACAACTAGAGGGGGTGGGTGTGGTGGCCTGACTTCCCCTGGGGAGGGGCTCTGTGCCATCACACACATGCTCCTGAGTTTTCTCTAGTAGATGTGTATTTTGTTCTCAGGGGGTTCCTGGTCAGCTAGTGGCTGTCTCCCTGGTGGTCATTCAGGATCCAAGGCCCTTCCTTTGTGGCTCCACTGTGGGGCTATGCTAATCCTGTTTAAAGGTAGTGCATACAGGGTGTCGATGGGTGGGACGTGGAGCATCAATGCCCTGTACTATGGGCCAGACCCCAGCAGGGGAAAAGAAAGAAGCCAGCTAGACTCATACACACCAGTGGGTGCTGGCCTGCAGACAGAAGGAGTAGACGTGCAGATAGTTTGAAGGATCTACTGCATTTTCTGATGGATGGGAGGAGAGAAAACAAGACCCAAAATTAAGGTGGGTGTGGTGGTATACTCTGTAATCTCATCTACTCGGGAGGCTGAGGCAGGAGATCACAAATTTGAGGCCAGCTTGGACAACTCAGTGAGACCCTGTCTCAACTTAAATTAAAAGGGCTAGGAGTATAGCTCAATGTGAGGTCAGGTTTCAGTCTCCAGTACCAAGAAAACGAAACAAAATGATTGGATGGAGGAGGTGAGACTCAGCCCCATGATGTGGCCAACGCCAAGGCAGCATGCTGCTGAGATGATCACCTCCATTGTAGTCCTGTGTTGAGTTTTGGGAAATGACCCTCTTGCCAGAGCTCCTGCTCTGTGACTGGCTGGACCATCTAGGTGAACAGTGGATCCGTGTCCTGTGCTCTGACTCTGGGCTGGCTCTGTGACTTGCTCTGGCCAGTGTGACATGGCATGAGGAACCTGGTGCCAGTTCTGAGCTTGGCCCTCAGGAAACCTGGTGGCATCTACTGTCTCCTGAGGACTCTTTGGCTTTGGTGGCCAGGCATGGGCTGGCCTTCAGGCAGATGAGACCATGAGAGACCCACTGGTCCCACCTGAAGTCATCCTTGACCAGCCCAGACTGAGCTGGCCAAAAAGAATGTGAGATGGTTCTGCCAAGATCCATTCTACCTGATCCACAGCTGGCCACGCATAGAGGAACCCATCCCAGAAGTGCCAACATATCCCTGATTCATGAGGGATGACTATATTGTCACACACCGGATAATGATGTTTGTGTTAGCACTGGACTGCATATGCTGTGTAGCCCCATGAATTGTGATGAGCTGAAAATTCCCATCTAGTGCTTTTACTATGTCTTTTCTGTGTTTAGGTACACAAATGCCATCACTTGACAGCTGTCTACAGCATTCAGTACAATCATCTGCTGTCCAGACTTGCTGCCTAGAAGCAATAGGCACCACTATCGGGCCTGGGTGTCCTGCACCATCTAGGCTGTGATGGTTACACAGAGACATATTCCTCAGAACGTGTCCCCATTATTAAGGGACATGTAACTGTATTCATTTTTGAAGGTACTGAGTGCTGTCAGGCTGTTTCTCAGCAACAGCTGACGCTACACCCCTTCCTCCCAAGCAGACAAGCCCTGGTGAAGCTCAGATCAGAGCTTCTAGTTCTTGTCCCTTCATCATTCTGCCTTCTGGCTGACTCAGAGCCCTGTCAGGGAGCATGATTGTGATTCCACAGCTAGGGAGAGACTAGAGCAGCATTGTGCACGGTGATGATTGTGGTGGTGGTGATGGTGGTGGTACTGGTGGCTCTGGATCTCCTCCTCCAAGGACCAGGAATCTCTCAGGTGGAGAAAAGGAAAACAAAGAAAATAGCAAAGGCACCAGATGTCCTGGGAAATGGGAACTACAGTAATTCTGTGCAGGAGACAATGAGGTGAGATGATGGGAAAGCATGGAAATTGCTAGAACATGCCTGGCACAGAGCACTTCCTTCCTAATGGCCTGTCACTGCTGTGTGCACAAGGCTTCCAGCATGGTGGTTGCTAGGTCCAGAGGGCACAAAGAGCTCAGACTCAAGGTACAGGATGGTGAGGAGTTATAACTGTGGTAGGCAGGATGTTGGCTGATCTGGCCAGTGCTTGGAGGCTGGTGGGGCATGCGTGGAGAAAGGGAGACCTGGCAGGAGGTGAGGCACCCTCCCAGGTGAGAGCCAAGAGCCAGTTGGTTGACAGCAGGGGGGTGTATAGTGGGAGAGCCTGTTGGATGCTCTGGGGAGAAAGTGCCACAGCATTGCATCCTGCTGAAGTGTGCCCAATGAGGGGGAGGGAAGAGGTGATGAAGGCAGTCTATATGTGTCTTGGGAAGCCCTTTTATCCACCTTTAAACCTCCGTTTGTAGAAGGCCCAGGAGCAAGGATTAATTTGGCATACTTAGGATCGCAATCTGATTTCTCTTTTCTGGGTAGTGAGACATGATTTATCTGAGCTGTGTTGTCACCTGAGAAGTGGGAGCAAGAGGCTGAGGAAACAGATCTTGGACTCACCTTGCAGTGTGCAGGAAACAATTCCCCCTTGGGTGGGAAGTGCTGTGCCTCAACACTTTGTCCTCCCAGGTCTTGCTGAAAGGTTCCCTTGGCAGCTGCTCATATAACTGCACACTCCCCACTTCTGCCCATTTATCTGCACCCTCACCACCTCTCTGCCTACCCACCTGCACACTCACCCACCCATCCATCTCTCCACTTATCCATCCATCCACCCACCCATCCATCCATCCATCCATCCATCCATCCATCCATCCATCCATCCATCCATCCATCATCCTTGTCTATACTTTCTTCTATGTATCCATCCTGTCTGTCCCCTCTCCTTGCTGCCTCCCTTCCTTCCACCCTTTCATCTATTTTATCATCCTTTCTATGTCCACTTAACCATGAATCCAAGGAAAACCCATGCTTTGAAATGGTTCAGGGCACCAGTTCATTCCGTCAGCACACTTGGGCAAGCCTGGTTGGTTCTCCCTGGAGCCCCTTGAAGCATATGTGCACACATGTGCAAGTGTGTGTGTGTGTGTGTGTGTGTGTGTGTGTGTAGGAACTATATTCTTTCCAAACTCCCTTCCCCTAAATTATTTCCTGACGTGGCACACTGTGTTGGTTAAAGGTCAACCCCAAGAGATTTTGCCTGGTCTTTTCTCTGCTGAGCATGCTGTGCAGCCTAGAATAAAGTCCTGCCCCTCTCTGGGCCTTGGCTTCACCATCTCTAAAACAAAAAAAGACTTGGCCCAGAAAGTCTATAGGCTGGTGGTCCAAGGGCCAAGTTCAGTCAGTCATGTCTGCATTATCTTCCAGGCATCTGTCAACAAACTGAAAAAATGGGAGATCATCCCGAGAAACCCAGATGTACAGTCTTTCTTTAAATCTCAGAGGACTTGACCACTGTAGTGCCCATGTTCCCATGTGGCTACAGTAGCCTTGGGTCAAATAGTTTAATTCCTGAACCTATTTTCTCCTGATCCTAGGCCCATGTGCTTTTTTTTTTTTTAAATTTTATTTATGTGTGTGTGTGTGTGTGTGTGTGTGGCCAGCTCAGCCCACCAGGGGGCGGGGCTGGCTGGCATGTGGTGCT